CAGATGATGTATAAATCTCAGTTTCGAAAAATTGACCCTTATGACTGGTTTTGTGGTCCAGGGTCACATATATAAAATTTAATCTAGAGTCACTTATGTATGTTTATTGGGGCTATCAGCTCATTAAAAATTAATAATAATAATTTTTGTTACTATTATTATTAAATTAAATATATAATATTATATATAAGATATAACCCAGGTTAATTAAAAAAAAAGTTTATAGAACTGATTATTATTATTAATAGTAGTAGTATTAACATTATATTATTCTATTAATACTTAATTATATAATATAAAAAATATATTAGTTATGATTATATTAATCATGCACTGATTACATTTAATTAAAATTAATCACAAATAACCACATATATCAATATTTGATTAGGGGAAAATCTCAAATATTTTTTGTCTGCCAGGTAACTCTAAATGTGTTCAGCTCATGATTGATGAAGGTGCGTTCATGGAAGCTCAAGACTGTCACTTTGGCACTCCTCTGCATGTGGCGTGTGCAAGACAACAACTCGACTGCGTCAAAGTTCTGCTCAACGCAGGTCAGTTTCTGCATTTACATTTCTGTGTGTTTTATTTTTATTTGAAATTTGGATAATGCATTAGCTAACTTGATTAACAATGAGCAAAATATTTTTTTACAGCATTTATTAGTCTTTGTTGATACAATTGCCCAAGTTAGTTCACAGTACATTAACTAATGGTAACAGAAACAACACTAGATTCTAGAAATCTACTAGTAAATGTTGAAATAAGATTATGAAATAATAAAGATAAATAAATGCTGCAGTATTGTTCATTGTGAGTTCATGCTACTAAAGTAGTTAACTAATGTGAAAAAAATAGTAAGCTCACTAACTTCAAATGAACATAAATCAAATCTCTTGTTCTTTCATTGTACATTCCAATGATGTCCGTGTATTCTTTTATGTATTTGATCCTGTTTTTAGGTGCAAATGTAAATGCTGCTAAACTTCACGAGACCGCACTGCATCATGCTGCCAAAGTGAAAAATCTGGAACTAATTGAGCTTTTGGTAGACTTTGGGGGAAATGTTTTCGCCAGAGACAACCTCGGAAAAAAGCCCATTCAGTACACCAGAGCCGGCTCAGCGCCTGCACTCCGCCTAGAGTTTTATGAATGTAAGTTGAAGTGCTTCGTTTATAAGCTGTGGATCTGGTATAATGATAGAAGAGGTTTTTTGTAGAGGGGTCATATAATGAGATATCAAATTTCCTTGTTTCTCTGAGATAAAAAGGTTCATTGTGAATGAAACATCCAACCAGACCATTTACTGAAACTAAACTACTAAAAAGAAGGGAAGCACAGCATCAAAAAATGGCCTGTTTTATTTTAAGGGTTAGAGAACAAGTGGAAAATTAAAAAGTCAAAGTAAAAAAATTATATGTGGAATTGCAAGAATGAAATGTGTGTTTTTTTTTAATTAGTTTGGCTAAAGCAACTAAAGAATGACAACTTCTTGTTTGACATCTTCCAGCCACACCTCTCAGTCTTCAACGGTTATGCAGAACTGCTTTCAGAAATGCCTTTGGGAAACGGGTGCTGGGGGTGTTGACTCAACTGGGCCTCCCAAACCGAATCATCTGTTTCCTGGCTTATTTACCAGCTCCTCCCCTGGAGCTCTTCCAGTCCTGACGATCTGCTCTGCTGCTTCTGTTCAGGTCATGAATAATGGCCACAACACTGACTGTGTTTAAGAAAAAGGGAGATTCCTTATTGTGAAGCGCAGCTACTGTAACAGCTGCACTCAGTATTTGTCACGTATGTTTGATATTTTCCTGCTGTTACAGCAGCGAACCAGTCCAACAGACGACATGGACATTTGGTATGGATGCAGTTTACTGGCAAAATTCCTAGAATAATTGGACTTGGAAAGAAGCACCTTTCACGGTATTTTCTGTGTTGCATCACATTTTGGCTGCTGACACATCTTACAATGAGGCACAATAAGACAAAGAGCTTGTTTTCTTGCAGTTAATCCAAACCATAATACTAGTTGTATAATTAACTTTCTTAATCTGCATTGTATGATTTCATCTAAGTTATTAGATTTGTAAATACACTGTATATAAAATAGTCTTATTTAATTATGCAAATTGTATATATCATAGCTTATTCTCATATAAATGTGTATAAAATATATATTAATATATTGTGCAAATGCTTTATAAATGAATGTTGTACATAGTTTGTTTTAAAAATGTATGTTCTGTTGTGACTTATTGAACATAATTGTAACAGAAATTGTAATTTCTAAATTACACAGTATTACAGTTATGTTTTACTTGACCTGTGGGTGAGAATTGACCATACTTACTACTTACAAGGACACAATAGATTTGTTTTGTTTTTCAGTCACTGCTTTAAAGTCTTAATTTTGCTGCAGTTTGTGCATACTGATATTAAAAGTTTTATAATATATTTTGCTGTTTCTCTGCACTAGCTAAATTCTCTCTAAAAAGTCAGATGCAAGTATCAAGTCATGTTAAATAGAAGTGCAAAAATTACAATTGTATTCCTATACGAACAGGAACGCTACTGTTGCACTTTTATTGTCTAAGTGTTGTGTTTACATCATCAGACATGGCCGTATTGCGGCGACAACGGCAGGACTTTTATTTTGACATGATTTGTGGAACTCTGAAGCCGGAAGTCGCCGTGAATCGTGAAGTTCTGAGGGAAGCTGCTTGATCAACTCTTATTCAAAACTTTGGACAGACTTATTTAACTTCAGTTTTTACAAGCTGAATCTGTAGTCTCCTGACGAAGCCTGTTCGTACGGGTTACGTGGCTTCCAGTCGAGTGTGAAGTGGCGTTTAAAGGGCTCCTCATGGCATTATTTTGGGCGAGAGAGCAGTAATTAGCAGAGCCCTGTTGATCAGATCAGCCAGAGGTCGCAGAACTGCAGTGTAAGCGGTGAGTTTCCTTCTCCACGCCTTACAGACACTCTCTGTCGCGTTATTCCCGTCCTCGGCTGTTTACATTCATTTTCATGTGAACTGGCACTGTGGACATTTTTAAACAGCTGATTTCCTTATAAAGGCTGTGCGTCAAATCATAGTGAGCTGTCTAAATAGATTTCTCGTGATATTTTGTCTGATTAATAACATGTTAAACGTAAATCTTTTAAGTATTCTGTGCCAGGTATTTACTGTTGATCAGCCTATTGGTTTTCTTTAGGGGTTTTGACATAATTTGATCACAAACATGATCATCAGTGAAAGTATAAAAGCCACAAGCAAGGTAATTGGATGGTACGAGACGTTCAAACCAGTTTAAAGTGCATATTTACCTAGAGTACAGTCACAATTGTGTGTAAAGTTGCCATTTTCTTACTAACCCTATGGTTGGTTAAAGTGTGTGACTTTCTGTACAATACGAAAAAATGTAAGCAGTAACGGAATAATGGAAACTATTCCTTTCCGAAAGATTGATATTTGTCCTCATCATGTAACTATAAGTTAGTGTATTTATAAAAAATGTTCTTATTTAGCATTTGTAGTTGCTCTAGGGTTTTCCAGTTAAAGTCAATGTGATTTTCTGTTCCATTATTTATGAAAGCCTTTTTCCACCATAGGATAAAACACAAAAAAGATAATTGCATCTTTTTTATCTCACAGTTCTGACTTTATAGTTCTGGCAGTTTATATTCACAATTCAGACTTTTTTCTCTAAATTCTGAGCTTATATCTCATAATTCTTTTTTTTCTGCCACAGAATTTAAAAGAAAAGGTAATTGCAACTTATCTTACTATTCAGATTTTTTTTATATAAACTATTTAGTTTATAAGCGAGTTAAAATCTCACAATTATATTTCACAATTCTGAAATTCTGCCTCTAAATTGTGCAATTCTGACATTTTTTCTCAGAATTGTGAGGAAAAAAGGCTGAATTGTGAGAGAAAATGTCACAATTACCTTTTTTTTTGTCCCATTGCAGAAACAAGCTTCCATAGTTCACAACCAATTTTACTTCTGTAATGTGCGTTTTACTTTTATATCCGGGCTGAATGTGAGTTTGCTGGCTGGTGGTTAACATTATCCAATTGGCCACACCGTGACGTCAGTGGAAAAGGGAAAGTTGTTGAAGAGGAAGAGCATGTAATTTAATTGAGTACACTTTTTTTTTTCTTTAGATCAATGTGCTCAGATGCATAGCTTGCATTAAACATGCATGTGTAATATCTTAAATTGATAACAGTAAAAAAGATGTTTTGAGCGGAAATCTGTGTCTCAGGTTTAGGTTGAGCAAGTAAAAACAGCTCTGGGGTCAGTGACCTCTGCTTCTCTCTCAGGTTAATGTCTTTTCCTGGCTGTACTCTGAGAATGACTTTGACATTTAGCCATTCTATAAATAGATTGTAGGGGTAATGATTGCAGAGGGGGATGCTTTCTTACAGAAACGGTTATTCTTATCGTGACGTCAGTGGTCACATGACAGTGGAGAAATTGCTAAATAGCCTCCAGTATGAGTCATAAAAAGGAGAAGATACATAAGACAACATTTTATTATTCACTGTCTGTAAACTCTGTCACCCAGACAACTGCTGAAGCCTGCATAAAGCTTGCATTGCATGGGTGGTGTTGTCAAGTCGTGAATGAACCATGTTTCTGTCAGGACCACTATCGTCAAAGATGATTGACAATTAGCATACAGTTTGGATTGGCGGTATGGTTCCGTTCTGGGCAAGAACTCCCTGTGCATCCATGCAGCCTAACATGGATGAGAGCAGCGATAACCCCCCCAGGGTAAACAGAACAGAACCAACATAAATGTATTGCAGATAGCGTTAAAGTTCAATAATGTTATGTACACATTTTAGAATTAGTCTAATTCAAAGGAGAATCAGAAGGCTGAATCCTGACTGACAGAGGAGGAGTTGGGGATGGAGGAGGGTAATTAGCTATTGAGCAATGCGATCCAATGCGGACCTTATATATGAATACTTAGATAGGTGTCGTATTCCCATAGGTTGATGGGGATCAGCTGAGAGTCAGCTGATGCGAGCTTGACTAACGTGACATGCCAGAACTGACGCTATGCTAGATTGCTGTTTTAATTCATTTGTTGATTCATGATTACTTTTTTTGCTTTGGCTGTTTATAATTTTGCCTTGTGTGTTGTACGTTTTATTTTTAAAATATTCTGTGAAACTTTTATATGGTCATCTTGTCCAGGATTCCCTGGAAGAAGAGATTTTCTTTTATCTCAATGGGACATTCCTGGAAAAATAAAGGATAAATCAAATAAATAAATCAAGTGGAGCATGGGAGCATGTTACTTTCCTTAGCGCTTTTAGAGAGGAGTCAACTGAACTAATCATAATTTTGATTATATGGTATAGCATTCAAAAGTTTGGGGGTCAGTGCAATTATATATATATATATATATATATAACTTATTTCAGTGAGTATGCATTAAATTGATCAAAAGTGACCGTGTCAATTATAATGTTACAAAATATTTCTGTGTCAAATAAATGCTGTTCATCAAAGATACCTAAAAAATGTGTCACGGTTTCCACAAAAATATTAAGCTGCACAACTGTTTT